AAATCCTAATTTAGATTCACCTATACCTGACACTATTTGATCTTAATTGAGAATAATTAAACACTATATATAGATGAAAACAAATCAATGATTAGAATAGAATCTGATAACATTAGCTCATGTGTTGTTCATAAATTTGCAACCAATGGTCTCCAATTAGAGTAACATATGTCCTCTTTTGATTATACTAGATCTCATTATAGTTGTTCGTTCATCCTTAAACCTCTTTTGATTATACTAGATCTCATTATAGTTGTTCATTCAGCCTTAAACCTCTCTTTAGCCACTGCAATGATTAATTTGTATATCTATTCTACGAGAATTACAACTACACACTAGTCTCAATGTCTACTCAAGAACCACTTCTACATAGAATGAAATCATATTTGAGGATACCATTCATATATTCTTTTAAAACTCTAATAATATATTTAAATTGTATTAGTATAGTAACAAGTTAGGTATGTCTTGCATTGATTTGCTTCAAGCACTTAATTATATTCATGGGCAATCCAATAAAAAGGGTGGAAAATGTCATCATGACTTGCTTCACAAACATACAAATATAGTTATTTGTGGTGAGCATCTCAAATTGACCGGTGAAGAGAATCAAGAATGAGGTTGTGATGTAAAAATAGATTGGGTAGATCCCAATAATTTGATGGATGAGGTATGGATTACAAGCGAGGCAAAATCACATCCCGGCATCATTATCATTCAATATCTCCTCATGCATGAAAAAAAATTATATGCTATTTAAGTTTTATTTTAAGATTATTACAATTATATTTATACATATTTTTATTGGTACAAACACCGCATGTTAGATTATCTATCTCATCCATTTTTATTGAATGCGTGAGAAAGATTAGATTTCATGATGTTACTACATCATAAAATTGGAAATGACCATCATTTTATTTCTCTCTAAGATGATATGAATGAAAGAATGAACGTTGCAGGAGGTGCCCTCGGATGGAAAGACAGTTAATCATGAAGAAGCAAGTGCAACACTGCATTTTCAGACTAATAAGACATTCCAAAACGATGTTTAGCTTTTGTTAAAATTTTACAGAAACGCACATGTCAATAGAGTGGTATGGGTAACACAATCTTTTTTTATTGTTAGTGATGAAGTTATTTATAAAGTATTATGTAAAATTTGGTTACTGAAACGCACAACTCCAATTGAGAGCTTTGAGAAGATGCTTGATGATTTGTGTCCAGGATTCATTTACAAAATGTTTGATTTTGTATTTGTCAAACATTAGTGAGTTCTAATTTACTTGACTTTATTTGACATGCATTTTTATAAAATAATTCGACTTGTTGTTCTTACGAGTTATATTATTTCCACATTTAGTCCATATTTTTAGCTTGTTCACTTTTGATTCTTGACTAATGTTTTTTGACCACTTATTGTCCTTCTTTGACGATTTTAACCATTGGAATTATTGTCGGGAGGACCATATATGGGCGAAAACACAATAGATATGTACCAAAAATGGTCAAATCAAACACGTGGACCAATTGTGGAATCGATGCGAAGCTCATAGAACTTTAAGCGGAATTTATTCCATTTTTTATTATTGAACAATGTCATTATTCTATTTCTTAGTTTTGAAGGGATGAATTTAGATCAAGAACTATTTCAATTATTTTGTGGACTTGGATCAAGAACTACTCCAAGTTCTTTGAAGATACGCCATCATCTTTGCTTGGGGATGGGAGGAAATCAGTCAATCGGCCATCACCCACCAACTTGCCATGGATCCCTCATTGACCTTAGTCAATTAGAATTGAAGTACCTCTCAACCGAGAGAAATGATTCCATCAAGGTCAAGAAGCTAAAATAATCGACATGGTTGATGAGCGTTGTCCTTACACATAAGTCTCTCATCTTCCGAATGTGTGTGGACTGTACAGATCAAAACAAGGTGTGCTCTATGGAACATTTCCCTCTCCCCAACATTGACCAATGGGTGGATGAGACGGCATTATGCGAACTAATGTGATTCGTTGATGCTTCTTGGAAGGACCACTAAATCTTCATGCATTAAGATGATACATCTTCATGCATTAAGATGATACGCCTTAGGACATATTCTGCTACCTTGTGATGACCTTTGGTCTCAAGATTTCTAAGGCCACTTATAGATATCAAAAATTGTTTTTCAGCTAAATGGGAGCATACTATATGATCAGCAATCATGACAACAAGCAGAAAACGCAACACAAAAATACACAATTACAAAAAAAATAAGGGGTGCATGAACAAAGAAACTGAATTACCAAAGCCAACCGACAAAACGTCCAAAAATGACTAAAGTTAACAAGAAAAAAATCAGACATAATCAGTTAATGAACCGAACCGACCATCTCTGTAATAGGTCTCTCGTCGATTTTAAGAAAGATTGTCGGTTGAAACGAAGCGACCGATAAATAACCTTACTCCCAAGTCTTATATTCTTCTTCTGGAACTTTGACGCCTTCTCCCAGCCTCATCAAGTGAGGTCTATCGAGAGAGAGAGAGACGAAGAGCCTCTCATCCTATTTGAGCAAGCATTAAACATATAATAAGCACACCCATTTTATTCCATCTTAGTGTTATGAGTTGGATCGCTCCAAACCAAGCATTTCAGCCCAACTGATTGTGAGGTTACTGTGTCTAGTGGGAGGTCTCGAGTTCGAAACCCGCTAGACACATAAGGATTTGAAACTAAATGAAGTGAGTTTCAGCCCTGATTACTCCAGGCCCCCCAGACCCCCCGGAGTAAAAAAAAGAGTTGGATCGCTCCAATGAACAACTACATTGATCTGATGAAACGGCGAATCCACACACTTAAGGTTTATTAAGTAGGCTAGTATTTTATTTTTTCTCGTGCACCCCATCATCAACATGTTTTGTATGCTTCATATTTTAATCATTAATGACAAATATATTTTCAAATTACTCATCGTTTGTATGAATCACATTTTGAAAATCCATGGATGTATTGAAAAATTATGCTTCCAAAGTCTTCGAAAAAATTCTTAAAAGAATTCTAAAACGCAATTTTGTTGTTAATAGACATATTACTTGACTTTATATTTAAAAAACAATTTTGAACTAATCTTCGAGTTAATATAAATTTTATATTAGATTGTTAAACCTCCAAAACATAAACAAAAAATTTTAATGTAATATGTATAATTTCATAAAAAGGAAAACAACCAAAACAGCCAATCAAACTGACATGTTTTGTTGTGAAAACCGACTGACCAAAGAATCTTTGGTTTGTTCAGTGGTTCCCTATTTCTTAAACACGAAAATAACAACAAATCGAACAGGACATACAACTTAGCGAAATCAGTAGCATGCAAGCAACAAAAACGAGCAGAAAATAACCTCAAACCAGTCCGGGAAGCAACCACACTTAACAAACCTAAACAATACCCTCAAGAATCACCCTCAAATAACAAGAATTAGAAGCAAACTACACTAACAATACATAACCCAACAAATAGAACAAGCTGTAACGAAAAAGATGGATTAACCGACATACCTGGGGGTTAGCCAAAGCTCAAAGCCCAGCCAAAACAGCTGGCAACGCACGAGGAGGGGGATAAAATTCGGGGAGGAGATAAATTAAAACCGGAGACACCTGGTGTGTCAAGGATGTTTTAAGCCAATTTACGTAAGATTTCAAAGGTGGTTCTCGAGCGTTGACCAAGTTCGATTGTGCTGACCATTTAACTGGCATTGAGTGTTGACCAATCTGTGCGTCAAGGGATTATAAAACACTTGATGTGATATAAGTTCCTTCAAGGAAACGCAAAAAATGATTGAGTCATGGAAAAGGGCCAAAGAGGACTAAAGGGATTAAGGGAGATATATGACATGGGCCACAATGAGAAAGGAATAACCAAGGAGACATCGACAACACTGAGTCAGAAAAATTCAACCGGCTCCAATTTCTTTTTTATCTGAACTGTTCATTAGATTCAATGGAACCTGTTTATGAAATGACTACCATGTGGTTCTCTGAATAGAGAGGATCGGAGTACCTTTAATCTGGAAGCTGCTTCATGCTTGAATGCTCAAATTCTGCCGGACAGGCGTAAGCATACAACGAAGGAAGGCAGCTCTCAAGCTTGACTGCAGTATAGTGTTCCTGGAAATCCGATGACACACTCACTCAAGGCAGGCTAACAGACCATGCCATTTAATGCACTTACTAGCATGGGTGCAAAATGACAATTGCATTCATTGCATTCCTATTTAATTTGAACTCCTATGATTATACTTTATGGGCTTCATTTATTTAGAGGAAATTACCAGATTACGGGAGTATGGCGTCTGACATGCCAAAATACGGGAAAGTTATTTAGGTTACCAAAATATGGGAGTCAGAATCCGTTGTTCGAAACCCGCTAGGGGTTAGGGTTTTATTTTAGGGTCTTTTACCAAAACACGGGAAAACTTGGATGGGTTTGCCAAAATACAGGGATTTTGTTGGGGTTTACCAAAAAGGGGTAGGGTTTCGAAATAAAATTCCGACAAGGGATAGGGTTTTAAAATAAAGTACCTCCCTTCCTGTCGGATTAGCCACTTCCGACAAGGGGTATATATATATATATATATATATATATATATATATATATATATATATATATATATATATATATATATATATATATATATATATATATATATATATATATATAGAGAGAGAGAGAGAGGCCGAATTGTTAAGTTTTTAATTTTCAAAGTTTTTAAAACTAAAGTTTTAAATTCTATCAATTCCAAATTTAAAAGTTTTTTTAAATTCCTGTGATATTTTTCAAATGAAAATTATGCATTTTGATTTTATGAGTAACAAAACATTTGATTGCTTTATATTGTTTTTTAATCCATTTGTATTGTCAATTTTGTTTTAAGTGCAATTTTTGTAATTTTAAGTGCAATTTTGATTTAATCCATTCCTAAAATGCGATACAAATTTGATTTTGTTTTAAGTGCAATTTTTGTAATTTTAATCGGAGTGAACAAAACAAATGTAGTTTTCAATGTAATTTATTAATGAATAAATTACAAGCCACCGTGTTCCAAGCCACCGTTGTGTCTCCATAATAAAATGAATAATTCAAAAATGACTCAACATAATCACCCGCCTGTGTGGGGTACTGATAAGAATCATAATACGGCGATGGTTGATCAAATGAGACACCATGATGCGTTGAGAATTGAGGGGGTGGTTGATCGATCAAATGGGACACCTTGACGTGTTGAGAATTGAGGGGGCGATTGTGATTGCTCACCCCCGCCTTCATGTTCATCTGCATCATCCTCTTGCTCGCTTCCACCTTCATCTTCATAATGGATATGACCGGTGGAGCATGTCTTCATAACCTACGTTCATTCAGGGTCATCCGCTATAATCATTTTTGACAATCCTCATAACTCATGCGGTTGGCTAAGAGCTGATACAAATCGTGAACGCCTTGCTTCTGCATAAAAATGTAACACATGTAAATAATATGACATGATATTACCTCCGTTCTTAAATAAATGCAACACTTTGACTTTTACACTATTCACATGTTCTGCTTTGACTACATTTTATTTATTAATGTAATAATATTATTTAATGAAAAAATATTGTTAAACATGTCTAATACAAAATCATTTATATTAATGGTCAAAGTTGTGTCTCGGCAAGTGTGAAATGTTGACCGTTGCATTTATTTAAGAACGGAGGAGGTATATGTTAATGAATATGGTATGCATTCAAAAACTTACCACAATACCACAATCACGTGCTGTCGGGGTGTAGCTTGTCGTGGGCACATTGTGAGAAGGGTTCTGGACACGTGTCATACCATGCTTTTGTACCATCTTCGGTACCTTTTAGTTGCTTCAGGGGGTGTCGATCATAATCAAGAAGTATATATGATATTGTATGTCCGCCCACAACGTCAAGGCACCGGCTACTATGTTGGAACGACTGGCGTGATTATCAGTATTCGCCAAAAGATCATTCGGAATATCTTGCCTTATATGGAACTGCCGAAGAAATCGATCAGGGTAATGCCTTTCAACCATATTGCAAAATATGAGCATTACCTCACCCGACCAGAGCAGAGCGTCATTAAGGATGATAGGTGAGAGTGTCTCGGACGCGTAGGGAGTTAAATCGAACTGTAAAAAGTTTAATTTGCAATTTAAGAACTATAAAAACATGTGTATTGAAAATTGAATAGTACAGTTGAAGTAAAAATTTCAAGTACTACCTGACTCACACTCATGCAATCTAGGTTATCCAGATACAAGCGTATGCAATGTGTTGGGGATCCCTTATATGACATGGGGACGATCCTCCTACATTTATTGATTACCAATATGAAGTTAAAAAATGTAACGTCATATAAAGCATTCTCAATTATTAAGATGTAATTGCCAACATACCTACACCCATATGGTAGATGGTCATGTTGAATGACCCGAAGTACTGTGGAACGGACCATTGAAATCCTCGACCAAGCCCAAATCTGTAACAAGTGTATACAACCGCCAACTTGTTTGGTTTCGCCTTTGGCGTCGTTGCACAAGTTATGGTAGAGGTACCAAAGCACCGCTGATCCCCAACCTCATCGACGGGCTAAGTCAAGTCATCCTGCCAAACCTCAAAAGATTACAATCGTATTCTTGCCCCACTCATGTCAGGGAACAAAAACCCTCCAAGCAATTGCCATATTAGGGTCATGGTGTGTTGGGTGACCTCTTCTTCTGTACTGTCAAGTAGGATCAGATGACGGGTAACAGCACTCATGGTGATATCACTCGTGCGCATAACAATCTCTAGAGGAGTGAAACCACACGATTGTGGGCACAGGTCGATCCACTGAGCCTTACCCTTAACGGTTGGAACACCGATGGGCATACCCTGAATGGGCAAACCAAGGATGATCGCCACATCTTGTAGACTAATGTCGACCTCACCGAATGGAAGATGAAAGGTATGTGTCTCCGACCTCCATCTCTCCACCAAAGCGCATATTAAACTATGATCGACCTTCATACGGGCAATGTGCTCTACCCCCAAGAACCCAACATATACTAACATATCTATCACTCTTTCATCTCGTTCTTCATCTCTGAATGCAGCTGAAGGGCAACTAACGCTCTTCAAGCACGAGTCTTTGGAATTTGGTTCATACCATACACGGTCCGCACGATGGGCATTTAGTGGGAGTAATGAACATTTAACAGACCCTGGGCGCGGAATGTTTTGGTCCATTTGAAATTCCTAAAATAAGTAGTTATAAACTAATAAATTCGAGATGAAAGAGTGATAGATATGTTAGCATATGATGGGTTCTTGGGGGTAGAGCACATTGCCTGTATGAAGGTTGATCATAGTTTAATATGCGCTTTGGTGGAGAGAGGGAGGTCGGAGACACATACTTTTCATCTTCCATTCGATGAGATCGACATTAGTCTACAAGATGTGGCGATCATCCTTGGTTTGGCCATTCGGGGTATGCCCCTCAGTTGTAACACCCCGACCCCGCATGTCCCGAGGTAGTTACTTCTGACTTCTAGTATTGTCCTCACAAACCGCCACTAGCATTTTCCGTGCACTTTGTCATCAGTCATGCGCGCCCTGAGAAACTTCTCGGGGGTCACTCATCCCAAGACTACCCCGTGCAAGCACGTTTAACTTTAGAGTTCTTGGTGATGAGCACCTTTAAAAGGAGATGCACCTTGTTGGTATGAGTAGTACTATTAATACGTTTAAATTAAATTTCAAAGTGTTACAATCACCCCCACAATCATTTGCAATGGAGCCAAAGATTCATTATTTTTTGGCTTGAGATTATGATGGAATAAAGCAAAATGGCTCATTAAACTGTCTGCGCTTCTTTGTTATGAAGCAGCAGTCAGTCCATGCAATTTTGGACGGGATTTTCACTATGGGTCATCCGGAAACAGTCTCTCTGTACTTTAGTACATGGGTAAGACTGCATACATCCGATCCCCCTTACCCCATCGTAGGTGGGAGCCTTTGCGGCACTGGGGTAAATGAAAATGAAACAATCACCCCCACTTAGGAACGCAACGTCCTCGTTGCCCCATAAATCAATCTCAATCAAATCCCAAAATCTTTCCCCTACTAAGTGTCTGCCCGATATCCAATGGATCAGCACACTATCGCAAGGTTGCTCTGATACCACCTGTAACACCCCGGCCCCGCAGGCCTCGAGGTAGTTACTTCTGACCTCTAGTACCGTCCTCACAAACCGCCACTAGCCTTTTCCGCGCACTTTGTCCTCACTCGTGCACGCCCTAAGGAACTTCCGAAGGGGTCACCCATCCCAAGACTACTCTCATGCAAGCACGCTTAACTTTAGAGTTCTTGGTGATGAGCTCCCTTAAAAGGAGATGCACCTTGTTGGTATGTGTAGTACTCATAATCCGTTTAAATTAAATCTCAAGTGTTACATCAGTGGTCCAACCGTTAAGGGTAAGGCTCAGTGGATCGACCTGTGCACGCAGTCGTATGGTTTCACTCCTCTAGAGACTGATATGCGCACGAGTGATATCAACATGAGTGATGTTACCTGTCACCCGATCCTACCTGATAGTACAAACAAAGAGGTCACCCAACACACCAGGACCCTAATATGACAATTGCTTGGAGGGTTTTTGTTCCCTGACACAAGTGGGGCAAGAATACGATTGTACTCTTTGGAGGTCTTGTAAGATGACTTCGTTTTAGCTCGTCGATGAAGTTAGTGATCATCGGTGCTTGGGTACCTCTACCATAACTTGTGCAACGGCGCCAAAAGCGAAACCAAACAAGTTGGCGGTTGTATGCACTTGTTACATATTTGGGCTTGGTCGAGGATTTCAATGATCCGTCCCACAGAACTTCGGGTCATTCAACATGACCATCTACCATATGGGTGTAGGTATGTTGGCAATTACATCTTAATAATTGAGAATGCTTTATATGACGTTACATTTTTTAACTTAATATTGGTAATCAATAAATGTAGGTGGATCGTCCCCAAGTCATATAAGGGATCCCCAAGACACTGCATACGCTTGTACCGGGATAACCTAGACCGCAAGAGTGTGAGTCAAGTACTACTTGAAATTTTTACTTCAACTGTACTACTCAATTTTCAATACACATTGTTTTATAGTTCTTAAATTGCAAATTAAACATTTTACAGTTTGATTCCACTCTCTACGCGTCCGAGACACTCCCACCCATCATCCTTAATGACGTTTCGCTTTGGTCGGCTGAGGTCATGTTCATATTTTGCAATATGGCCGAAAGGCATTACCCCGATCAATTTCTTCGCCAGTTCCATATAAGGCAATATATTTCGAATGATCATTTGGCGGGTACTGATAATCACGTCAGTCGTTCCAACATAGTAGTCGGTGCTTTGACGTTGTGGGCGAACATACAACATCATATATACTTTTCTTGATTATGATCGACTTATGTCCCTCGAAGCAACTAAAAGGTACCGAAGATGATACAAGAAACATGGTATGACACGTGTCCAGAACCCTTCTCACAATGTGTCCACGACAGGCTACACTCCGACAACTTGCGATTGGGGTATTGTGGTAAGTTTTTGAATACATACCATATTCATTAACATATATCATGTCATATTATTTACACGTGTTACATTTTTATGCAGAAGCAAGGCGTTCACGATGTGTATCAGCTCTTAGTCAACTGCGTGAGTTATGAGGACTGTCAAAAACGACTACAGCGGATGGCCCTGGACGTGGGTGATGAAGACATACTCCATTGGGGCATATTCTATTATGAAGATGAAGATGAAGGTGGAAGCGAGCAAGAGGATGATGCAGATGAACATGAAGGTGGGGGTGAGCAATCACAATCGCCCCCTCAATTCTCAACACGTCAAGTTGTCTCATTTGATCGATTAACCACCCCCTCAATTCTTAACGCATCAAGGTGTCTCATTTGATCAACCACCGTTGTATTATGATTCTTATCAGTACCTCACACAGGCGTGTAATTATGTTGAGTTATTTATGAATTCTTCATTTTATTATGGAGACACTATGGTGGCTTGGAACACTGGCGGCGGAGACGGAGCAGGGCCGATCACGCAACGTTAGATGTAGTATTAAATTTAATATTGTATGTATTGTCTATTCATTAATAAATTACATTGAAAACTACATTTGTTTTGTTCACTTCCATTAAAATTACAAAAATTGCACATAAAACAAAATCAAATTTGTATCTCATTTTACGAATGGATTAAATCAAAATTGCACTTAAAATTACAAAAATTGCATTGAAAACAAAATTCACAATACAAATAGATTAAAAAACAATATAAAGCAATCAAATGTTTTGTTACTCAAAAAATCAAAATGCATAATTTTCATTTTAAAAAATATGACAGGAATTTAAAAAAAATGAATTTGGAATTGATAGAATTTAAAACTTTAGTTTTAAAAACTTTGAAAATCAAAAATATAAGAATTCGGCCAAAAAAATACTTGTATATATACAAACCCCTTGTCGGAAGTGGCTAATCCAACATGAGGGGAGGTATTTTATTTCGAAACCCTATCCATAGTCGGAATTTTATTTCGAAACCCTACCCCTTTTTGGTAAACCCTAAAAAAATACTCGTATTTTGGCAACCTCATACAAGTTTTCCCGAGTTTTGGTAAAAGACCCATTTATTTATCTATTTATCTATCGGTAACAAAGTATAATATGAAATTTAATTAGATTTGTGCTAATGTAGATTTTTTAAAATATAAATTTATTTAAATTTATTAATTGCAAAAAAAAATATAAATTTATTAATTGGCGATTAAGCACATGAATATTCAAAGTCATGTATTGGCAATTTGGCATGATCGATAGTTAAATCATTGCCACTATTTAAGAGCAAAAGAAGTGTGTTATAGATCAGAATATATATTTATATACAATTTGAAAGCTATTGTCAGAAAAGCCAAGTCAGTGATTCAAGGTTACAGTTCGTTCAATGTACAGTCAGATTCCCAAAAATGCATTAAAATGATTCAAGGGTTTTCATCTATACCTGGGTATCCGGAAACGAGGGTGAAAGATCTCAACGTTCTAAAACTGGCTTGCTCTCTCTCCTTCCGTCATCGTCTCAGAGTAACGAATCACTGCGCTCATCATCTCGCAAAGTTTGGGCTTTGACAACTCACGACCGTATCACTCTCTCTTAACTAACTGCCTTCAAACGCCAGGAAAGCTTACTATGATGATAAAAATGGGGCTTCCTTCTTTCGCGACACCGGGTGAACCCCGTTTCACTGGCAGTTTTCATCAGGAGAAAGAAGAAAAGATGGAACGATCGCTGCATCTAGAACCCCTACTTTTTGAACGACAATGGCCCCTGGCAGTATTATGTGGGCTTTTTTTTGGACGGACGCTACTGGCCCAGGAAGTTTGGCACTATCCGCCCCTTCGCTCCTTTTTATTTTTGTTAAGTTTTTGGCCCATCTATCTACCACTCACACTATATGTTGTATTTTAATTCCTTTTATGTATCTCCTCGGCTTTGTTTTAATACTAGAAGTAAAATTTAGGTAAATGTTCCTCGACATTTACCCATCGTGATGGTGGTTCATCGGGAGAAGGAAAAAAAAGCCAGTCAATTGAACAATTTCCTTGATGTCGTGATGTGTTAAGTTAAACGATCGATAGAGAAACATAATTGATGTTTTTAAATATACCGCTGTAGTTATATCATTTGGTAAATTTGACAATTCTTTGAAGATTAGAAAGTAAAAAAAAACTAAGAAATTAGGATTTGGTTCTTTTACTTAACTGTAGTTTTCTCATTTGAAAAGTTTGACAATTCTTTGGAGATTGGAGGGTAAAAAACCTAAGAAATATGGGTGGAAAAGAAGGTAAATTAAAATTTGGTCATTTTACTCGACTTCAATAACTCCTTATAAGTGGCCTCTGGACGTGTTCTTTTGACCTATCGCATCTCTATGTGCTAGCAAGGCAATTATATCAAAAATCCAAATGATGAAAATTAAATATGCCATATAGTTGTTGATAAATATTACGGAGTACAAGTCAAATATAGTATCCTACGGATTACCAACGCAATCATCAGTCGTTTGACCTTCTTTAATTGATGTCATTTTAGAGGACTCAACCATCTAAGGACTTGCAAGAACCATGCCAAATTGCCTACAATAATAAACATAAAATATGATTGAAAAGAACTAATTTCTTGATTGTTCACCCACACCCAACTATCAAGATAAAGAAAACAAGCAACCCAATGGTGCAATGTTGACAGCTTGTAAGGCCAAATATATATCCATGTTTCAATTATTTACAAAAATATAACTAGTCATTAGAATAGTAATGAAATTATAGTAACTTATGTTCTGATTTTAAACTAAGTTGCCATTAAACTACATTGTAGTGATTATTAGTCATATTTGTGTAAATAAGTTTTATTTTAATAACATTTTTGAAAAACCCTATATACAAACCTACCTACCTATATATCATATAAATATATACTCCCTTCAGTACTAAATAAACTTTACACTTTCCTTTTTGGATAGGTCCAAAATAAACATCACACTTCTTCTCCCTTCCTTATTTGGCAAATTATCTACATCAAAACAGTGCCAAACAGTGTCAAACAGTGCCAAACAGTGTCACAACAGTACTTTACAGTAAAGTCAAACTTGACAGTAATTACTCTTATTTTGGAAATAAAAACATGTCAGTCCTATTTTGGAATTTTTAAATTTTTTTACTCCTATTTCGGGATTTTTCTCAAAAAAAAATGACACTCTATCCACGAAAACTGCTGAGTATGTATTTATGAGAATGTAAGTTCAAGCTCACCAGCAACTAGGACTCACACACCTGAGTATTTTCTCTCAAAGGTGCTTTAATTTAAAGAATTAGTTTACGATGTTGGAATTTTGGTGATATCTATTTAACAGAATTTTAAAAGCTAGACAAAGTCACAAAGTACAGTTGATGGAGTATATGGGTCTGAGCTCCCGGACCCACATACTCGGAAGAACAGAAAGCACAAGACAACAAAGTGGCGCCCTCGTCGGCCAAGACGCCCCCGTCGGCCGAAAAGGGGCCAACTCAGATTATGGTCCTGAGCCCAAGGAACCCGGGTGCCCTCGTCGGCCGTGCCCTCGTCGGTCGTGCCCTCGTCGGCCACGAAGACCTCCCAGAACCGGATTCTACATTTACTCATTTGTACAGCCCATTAGTGGCTTTGTATTCGGCCCAGTAGCGGTCCAGTTGTAAATGGGCCTCCCAAGCCCAAGACTTGGGAGCCCAACCCTAATTTTCTCTATAAATACTCCCTTTGGGAGTAGTTATAGGGGTTACAAATTCATTCTATTGAAGCATATTATTGCACTTCTCTCTCTAGCTCTCACTTCTCTCTAGATATACTCTATCAACAGTATTTGATAGTGTGCCGTTTTAACTTATAATCACAACTAAATAGATATCGACCGAGTACATTTTAACTACTAGATTCTGACATGTGAGATCCACGGGAGAATATTTAATCGTGGTGTTTGTATTTGATTCTTAAAACTGCTTCTGCTCCTTCAGAGAGAAGAAGTGATTCTGATGCTCTAATTTACTCCTAGAATCAGTTTTTTTAGAAGTTGGGGGTGACCAGCTTCTAAAAACTGATTCTGATTCTGCTTTAAAAAGAAGTAGAATCAGAATCAGTTCCAAACACCCCAAATAGTGAAATTTTTTCATGAACAATGAATAACAATATGGCATATTTATAAGATTATAATGTATGAAAGTGAAAAGAGAACATAGATATTAGTTCAAAAAGAGTAGGTGTTAATGTGTACTGTTTGAAGAGCACACAATATGTAAACATGTTCGTCCTTCACTTTAATTCTTATGGAGTATTTTATAACGATTAATAGTGTATAAGTTTAATTATTAATAGTTTGTATTTTAATTAAAGAAGTTGTTTGAATAATGTAAAATTACATAACTAATTTATTAATTTAAAATTTAAAATCTTACCTGTGTTATCGGACCCGAACCAGTCCGGACAGGTCCCAGAAACCGACGAGCCGTTTGAAATACCGGGCTGGTTAGGACCAAACCCGCAAACCATGAAAACCGGCTAAAAACAGAAGATCCGCCCGAAACCCAACCGCAAACCCGCTCCGGAACCCACCCAAAACCACAAGACCCGGCCATTTTGGATTTTTCAAAAACTCGGAGTGATGTGGAATACGAGTAGAACAATGAAGTTTGTTAAACTATTCACTAATTTTTGTCAAACCTATTCTGGTTATTCAGTAACCGATTAATGTTTGAACTAATCTACGGAGTATATGTTAACCGGACTTTATTTGATTTTTCAATAGAGACCAATCTGCCTTGTATGTTTATTTTTCAATAGAGAACGCCGAAGCCGACATCCTCTCCAAGCTCAGCTCGGACACCCCGGAGCACATCTCCCAGTTGGCCAAGATCGAGGAGTTGAGCATGTCCAGCATCCATGCCAGCCCCGTCCTGTGCGTCCAACAGCGACCAGAGGACTGGATCTCCGACATCGCCACCTTCATCACAACGGGGGAGCTGCCCCCGGACGAGGAGAGGGCCAAACTTGCCAAACTCAGGACCCCAAGCTACACCATCGAAGATGGCAAACTCTACAAACGGTCCTATAATGGCACTCTCCTCCGATGCCTGCACCAGGACGAGGCCGACACAGCCATGGAAGAAGTTCATTGTGGCGTCTGCTCCTCACACCAGGGCCCTTTCAGCATGTTCCGGCGCCTCGTCGTCCAGGGCTTCTTCTGGCCGACGATGGCACGCGACTGCGCCGACCTGGCCAGGAAGTGCACCACATGCCAGGTACTCCAGAAGGCCCCTGGTCGGCCAGCTGTCAACTACGCCCCCGTCAGCACCGCAATTCCATTCTCCAGATGGGGGATTGGCGTGGTCGGCCCCCTGCCCAGAGCCGCCGGGAATAACCGCTACATCATCGTCGCCGTCGACTACTTCACCAAGTGGGTCGAGGCGGAGCCCTTGGCCAGCATCACGGGGGCTAGATGCCAAAAATTCGTTTACAAGAACATCATCACACGCTTTGGCGTCCCCCAGGAGATTATATCAGACAACGGCACCCAATTCGAGGCAGCCCCTTTCCAGGAGCTCCTCCGGGAGTTCGGGGTGAGGCATCGTTTCTCCTCCGTTGCCTATCCTCAGGGCAACGGGCAGGTTGAGAACGCCAACAGAACAATCATGGAAGGGCTGAAGAAGAAACTCCAGGCCGCAGGAGGTAGTTGGGTAGACGAGCTCCCCAACATCCTGTGGTGCTACAGAACCACGCCGAGGAGGGTGACAGGCGAAACGCCTTTCGCCCTGTGCTACGGCTTTGAAGCAAAGGCCCCCACGGAAGTTGCCATCCCCAGCCGGCGGGTGGAACAAAATGAGCCTGACACCAACGAAGAGAACATGAAGATTGACCTACACCTGGTTGATGAGAGGCGTGAGCAAGCTTACGTCCGAGCAGAGAACTACCGGCGCCAAGTAAAATCATACTATGACGCCAAGGTACGTTCCCGGGAATTTCAGGTGGGGGACTACGTCCTCCGCCGAAGGGAAGCAAGCCAGCCGACAGAGGGTGGCAAGCTAGCATTGAAGTACGAAGGGCCCTACATCGTGAGTGCCGTGGTCAAACCCGGCACCTACAAGCTTAAACGCCCGAATGGGTCCAATGTACCACGAACATGGAATGTACACCATCTGGTGAAGTTTTATCAGTAATCCGAAGGAGGTGTAGACGGCGAAGCCCTCACCCCTTAACGGGTTACTGATTGAACGCCACCCTCGGCCTCGAGCCACTTATGAATAAAATCATGTTCTGATTTTTTCTCTGGAATTCAAAGTAAAACATTAGTAGGTGCCCCCGTCGGCCACCTTAGAGCGAAAGGCTCAGGCATGGCCGACATGGCCCCTTGCATTTGCAGCCTACGAGCGACAAGCTCCGGCACTCCATTGTATTTTGTATCAGCGAAGGGCTCAGGCCTAGCTGAGAGAGCACATCGTCCTGGCCCCGTAAGCCTAGAAGTGAAACGCTCAGGTATGGCCGACGATGTCCCCAGGACGAGGGGCCCGCAAACGGCCCACGTCTTGAAACGGGAAGCTCACCGCGTCGTCCACGCGTCAGATCGTAGGACGACAGGCCTGAAATCATGGCCGAGGTGACAAAATCCCAAAACTCAGGGATGGGCAACGACAGCCGTTGGAAACTGACCAAAAGTCTAGCCCGCGTCATAAATAGGCGACGGGACCTGCCCTGAGATCACGGACGTTATAAA